AATAGCACATTTGTGCCAGTCCCAGTTAGAGATATCTTTAATGTCTTGTAATTCCTTCCAGATTTCTTCTTTAAGTTCTGGGTTCTCCCAACTTTTTCGGTTGAATCTCCAGAGTGAAGAGGTTCCGTTGTATTGTTTGAAGTTGAGTTCAGTAACTACCATTAAGTGATCTGAGTTGCCAAAGCTAATGTATGTGTTTTTGCAAGTATAGCTATGACTTGCTTCTATAAAAATATAATCTAGTCTGGTTGCCATCTTCTGGTTGTTTGAGTGTTTTGGTAGAAGGTGAAAAATTGCTTATCTTTGGAAAAGATAGCTGTGTCAATGAAGTCTAACATCAGTTCTTTTAGTTTGTTTCTAGATTGATCTGGTTGTGCAGTTGCATGACTAATTCAGTTTATGTTGGGATCAAGATTTGTGTTGAAGTCTCCTCCTACTATGTTTATACCTTCATCAATGTTAGGTGAAGCCCAGTTTTGAAAAAAAGTATATCTTTCATCCTGTAAAGGAGGGGCATATACATTGGTTAAGAAAAATAATTGTTGTTGAATTTCTGCTCTAGCCAAAGATACTTGGCCATTGTGTGAGTTCTTGGTTATCATTAATTTGATGTTTTTGTTTTCTGTAAGTATGGCTGTTTTTGAGGACCAGAATGAGTCAAATTCCCATTGTTGAGCTAAAAAGTTTCTTGTATTAGGGTCTTTTAGATTGGTTTCTTGTAACATTATAATATCTAAGTTGTATGATTTTAATAAGGTAAGGGTTTTTTGTGCTTTAGGCCTGTTATTGAGGCCTTTAACGTTAAGTGTAGTGATTTTAATCATTAAATAAAATGAAGGATTGTTGTGCTACACTTGATATTCCTTTTTTAAAAAAAGTTTTTCTTTAGTGGTCCACTTTGCTGTAAACCTCCTGTTTCTCTGTATGGATGAAAGCTATCAGCCTGACCTTTCTTCTTGTTCTTTAGTTTTTGTTTTCTGGAAATTACTGTGGTGAATGGTGTGTTATCTGTTTCTTGATTCAAAGTTTGGAAACTGTCTATATTATTGGTTAATTCTGTGACTGAGTTGGCAGAATGAGTGGTAACAAAAGAATTGTCTGAGGAAGCTCTAGGTCCATAGTGCTAGATGTACTAGAGCTGCTGAAATCAGATGTATTGGGTTCTAAGATGGAGTTTTTGAATGAATCTTCTTTAGTATTGATGTGTTTTAGAGCTGAGTTTGTGCAAGATTCCTTTGAGCTTATATCAATGTAAGGGTTGTCTTTGCTGAACCCTTTGTTTATAACAGACGATTTTAATATTGGTGTTCTTTTGAGTTGTGCCCTAGCCTCTTTAAGTTCTTGCCTGATCTGAATAGAGGCTTTAAGTTTTTTGCAGTAGAAACAGACCTTGGAGGCTTCTTTCCAGTCTTTAGTTATCTTGTGGTCATCGATATGAGTACTTCTAGAGAGTCTAGTAGCAAGCTCAGAGTCTTCTGTTATTTCAAACATGACTAGCCACTGGTCTGAACAGACTGTGGTTCCTTTATAGAAGAGAGGTTTAATAGAGACAACTTGTCCCACCTCCTTAAAGGCCTCCAGAATAAGATTTCTGATTGATTTTGAGTCTCCTAATGGAGTTCTACAAAGTTTGATTGTGAGGAAAGATTGTCTGATATTGACTAGTATATACCCAAAGAGGGTTTGTTTAAATAATGGAATGCCTTCGGAGGCATATTGTTGAAGTTTTTTTTGTTCTTTAAGATAACTTCCAAGGAAGTTCTTTTTCTTTTTGTTGTGTGAACTTTTGCTGCGATTAGGTCTTCTTCTATTTTGGCAGCAAGAGCAGCGATGATATTATTGGTGTTAATGTTGATTAAGCTTTGTATGTCTAAAATAAGCGTATTATCATTTTTGGTATGAATTCTATGTCTTGTAGTTGATTTGGAAAAAACTGCTTTTTCTTCCTTAAGTTTAGAGAACAGGTTGGATCATTGTAATGGCTTATTAGAGTCTGCAGAGCTATTTTTTGCTAATGGCATTGGACCAGGGGGCAGGATCTTAGTCATGGTGGTCTGGGGCAGTAGATCAGTACCCTGATTGTTGTCTTCTGATTGACTGTTTTGGTTAAACACATGTTTATCAGCTGAAACATTGTTGTTTTGACATGTGTTGTTTGTTTCTTCAGTTGTTGTGGTGCGAGCTTTTGTTTGTTCTAAGAGGATATCTTCCCATATTTCACTGTCTTGTAATTCTTTTTCTGTAATGTTGGCCCAGTTAAAAGAAGTGTTGTCAGTAGAACAACTTGTCTGGGTGTTCATATCTTGGTTCACTTCAGCACTGTTAGATGTCTCTAAAAATTTTGTTGTCTTTGCATCATCTTTAGTTTCTGGCAAAAGCACAAAAGTTTTTTCTTTCAGACTTGATAACTTAGCTTTCTTTTGTTGTGGCTTGCCCATATTTAACAAGCCAAGCTTTCTTTTTTGAGGAGTAAGGGCTCTTGCCCTATAGTCTTTAGAGTTTATAAAAAGAGTTATGTTGTTTTTTTGTAAAATTTTGTATTTTTGCTATTTTCTAGTAGTGAACTGGAAAGAGTTTTTAGAAGTGGTTTTATAGAGGCAATAGTGCCAATATCCTGAAAAGCTTCCTTAATCTGTTCATTGATAACTTCTTTATTGCCTATTGGTGTGTTCTTCAATTTAACTGAAAGGAATGTATGCTTAAGATTAACTGGGACATATTTAAAGAATGTTTGTTTAAACATTGTAATCCCTTCTGAAGCATACAGTTGTTGTTTGTCTTTATCTGAAAAGGCTATTTCTAAGAGAGCTCATCTGCTTCTGATAATGTGAGTTTTTGCTGCTAGCATATCTTCTCCCAGTTTGATATAGAAGGCTGAGATGATGTCATTGGTAGGTATGTTGGTAAGCTTAGAAATGTCAAAAACAAGAGCATTTTCATTCTTAGAATAGATCTTGTTTCTGGGTGCTGTGTTAGAGAAGGTTGCCTTGCCTCCTTTCAGCTTTGAGAATAAATCTGACCATTGCTTGGGTTTGTTGTTAGCTGGTTTGTCATTCACATCATCTGATGTTGTGCTATCAACGATTTTGTCTTGTGTATCAATTTTGTCATGTGTGATATGCATGTGTTCCGTATCTGTTTGTTTGTTGTTTTCTGTATTTGCTATTGCATGTGTCTTGTTGTTTTTTACCTTGTTGTTTTCACTTGTAGAAGAAGTAGCTTTTTGTTTGCCTTTACCAACTGGCTTTTCTTCTTGTTCTATGTTACTGGTCCAGTTTTTATCACCTTGGTTGTTGCTTTTACTTGGTTTACTATTTGGTAAATATGGCATGTTTGCTGTTTCTGCTTTTATAATAAGAGTTTTTTCTTGTTCTGATAACAAGTCAAAGTCCTTTTTTTTTGGCTTTAGTATCAAGAAGTTTTGGTCTCTTGGGTATCAAGCTGCTTATGTTTGACAGAAATAAGTTTCTTTTCTTGGATATAAAGGCTTTAGCCCTACAAAAGGAGTTTAAAAAAAGTTTTTATTTAGTTTTTGTGAAATTTTGTTATTTTTGTATTGTTACCAAAAGTGTACTGGAAAGAGTTACCCAGAATCTTACTCCTGTTATGATAACACAAAACATGTTACTTAAAAGACACATTACAGAAGATGAAGTCAAAAGTGTACTGATCTCTCTTTCTAACAACAAGGCTCCAGGTTCAGATGGCCTTAGCTACGAGTTCTATAAAGATATTCAAGAAGAGGTTATTCCTGCACTTATGGGTCTTTTTAACTACTGTCTGGAAATAGGTTCTATCTCTAAATCATGATCCAAAAGCATAATTACACTTATTTCTAAAAAAGCAGAAAACTTAAGTGATGTTAATAACTAGAGGCCTATAGAGTGTATGTAGATCATTTTTTGATATCCAGAAGAGTTTTAAAAAAAACTTTTTATTTTGTTTTTGTGAAATTTTGTAATTTTTGTATTGTTACCAAAAGTGTACTGGAAAGAGTTTTTTTGTACCAACTGTTTTTGTCAAATCTTCATTGTTTGGCCTTAGAGAAATTAGAAGTTAACTGAAACTTACATTCTACCAGCAGGTGGTCTGAGTTCCCAAACTGAGTTGCAATGTGTTTGCAGCAGTGTCCATAATTAGCATCAATAAAGATGTAATCAAGTCTTGTAGCCATTCTTTTACTGCCTTTGGTATTTTGATAATAAGTTATAAAGGGTTCCTCTCTCTGCTTCAAACTTACTGTATCTAAAAACTCTAAGGTAAGTCTTTTGAGCATTTCTTTTGTGGGGTCACTAGTTGGAGGTGAGTCACTAATTCTATTTGTTTGTGGGTTGAGTTTAGTATTAAAATCTCCTGCTATAATATTTATGCATCTATTAACTACTTGAGGGGCCCAATTGTTGAAGAAGATAGATCTGTCTTCAATATTTGGAAGTGCATAGACATTAGTAAACTTGAAGAGTTGTTGTTTGTAAGTTAATTCTACAGTGATAACATGCCTATTATGAAAATCTTGAAATTTGGTAAATGAAATGCTTTGGTTGCCTGCCAGTATTGCAGTTTTCAATGTTCAATAGGAGCAGTAGCTTCACTGTTGTTGTAAAAAATTTCTGGTATTGAGTTTCTCTAAATTTGTTTCTTGAAGCATTATTATATCTATTTAGTAATGTCAATATTCTGTGTGCCTTATCCATATTGTTTAAACCTTTAACATTTAGTGTTGCAATTCTAATTTTTTTGACCATAATAATTATTATAGAAGGGAAAAATGATCTAATAGGGACTTCTTTTGATCCCATGGCTGTTCTTGAGCTTATTGTTGTTTTCTTGTAGTTCTGTAACCTTTTGCTTTTTAGATTTGCATTTAGATGAAACCAAAGTGAAACTATATTTATCCTTGCCTTGAAGGTTCATAGATTGGCTTGGAGTACTGCTATACATAGTAGCTAAAAGGTTTGATAAGGTCTTCATTCTGGGGATAAAACTATTTCTTTCATATGTAGTTGCTTTCATAAAGATTCTGGTTTAGATACTTTATCTAATTCTAAATTAGATAATGTAATATTTTTTTCTTGTTTATTCATTGTTGAGATGATATTTTTCTCTTGTCCATCTATATTCATGCTAAGCCTATTAGTTGGATTATAGGAATTATTCAAGCTTAGAGCTAGTAGTTTTTTTTTCTTTTGTTAGAGCAACTGTTTATTTTCTTGTCTTTTTTGCATTTTGTGATTTTTGTGAAGGTTTTTGATTTCTACTGATGTTTTGTATTCTGGATATTCTTTTTTGATATGTTCTGTTTTATCACAAAAGTAACATAACTTTGGAGCTTCTCTCCAGTCTGTTGTTACTTTTGATTTCTGACATGTGTATATCTAGAAATTCTAGATGCCAAGTTTGGGTCTTCTGTTGTTTCAAAGATCACAACCCACTAATCTGAGAGAACTGAGATGCCTTTGTAAACCAGTGCCTTAATAGTTAAGATGGTACCAATATTTTGAAAGGCTTTCTTAATGCATTCTAAAACAAAGTTCTTTTTTCCCATTGGGGTGTTATGAAGCCTTATTGACAAGAAGTTGTATCTGATGTTTATAGAGATGTATTCTTGAATATTTTGTTTAAAGACTGTAAGGCCTTCAGTTGCGTAATACTGTTGTTTTTCTTCATCTGAAAAGACAACTTCCAGATATGTGCATCTGTTTTTAATAATTATTGGTTTGACTGCAATTAGGTCTTCAACAATATCAGAGGTAGAAATGTTTTTTTTTTTTTTTTAAAAAAAAAAAAAAATGCATCTAAGCATGCTTTTTATTTATAATATTATTATTATATTACATATTTACATTAAGGTCTAATGAATTTTAATATCTTTTTTATTTGTCTTGACTTTTCCTGAAGCCATGCTTCGTAAAAGGTTAATTTTGTGCTTTATTCTAAGCTTTGCTATATTAGATGCTGTTTCAGTAGAGGTAGTGTTGTTTCCCCATCTAGCTTGAGTATACCAACACCAAACTTCATATATTATTATTATATGTACCCATATGGCTGCTTTTCGTTTTTTAGTTGATCCTATATTAGATGCTTGAAAGATATTTTCTATGGTAGAAGGTATTGGTTCATTGGTATATTTAAAGAAGCTATAGGCTGTTTTCCATATTTTCTTGCTTAGGGGACATTTTAAAGCAAAATGTTTGATAGTTTGTGTAATATGTTGGCAGTTTGGACAACTGCCCAGTTCGTTTTGGTTTATATGTTGTAGATGATATCCTAAAGGAAGAGCTCAGTGAGCTAGTCACCATGCTATATCCTTTTTTTTGTTTAAGATTATTTTGGTTTCTATCCATTTAAACTTTGTAAGGTTTTTTTTTTTTTTTTTTTTTTAAACGCAAACTAGCGTACTTTATTTAGTATACTAAAAATACATTATTAATGAACTATTTAGTTAAACTATTTACAGTTTTTTAGTTTTAAGAACTTGACCATTTTGGCTTTTGCCTTACTTTTAGAAGTATTGTATAAAACTTTTAAACTTTTTTGAATTTTTGCTTTTGAAATATTCTTTATGGCTTCT